CTACCACCCAAAAAAAGGCCAGGTCCAGACGGGTTCACAGATGAATTCCACCAGACATACAAAGAGGAACTGGTACCATTCCTTCTGAAACTATTCCAAATAATCCAAAAAGAGGGAATCCTTTACAAATCATTTTATGACACCAACATCATCCTGATACCAAAACCCGGCAGAGACTCAGCAAGAAAACAAAACTTCAGGCCAATATCCATGATGAACATAGACGCAAAAACCTTCAATAAAATACTGGGAAAATGATTGCAACAGCACATCAAAAAGCTTATCCACCATGATCAAGTAGGATTCATCCTGGGGATGCAAGGCTGGTTCAACACATGCAAGTCTATAAACATAATTCACCACATAAACAGAACCAAAGACAAAAACCACATGATCATCTCAATAGATTCAGCGAAGGCCTTTGACAAAATTCAACAGCGCTTTATGCTAAAAACTATCAATAAACTAGGTATGGATTGAACGTATCTTAAAATAATAAAAGCTATTTACAACAAACCAACAGCCAATATCACACTGAATGGGCAAAAACTGGAAGCATTCCCTTTGAAATCTGGCACTAGACAAGGATGCCCTCTCTCACCACTCTTATTCAATACAGTAATGGAAGTTCTAGCCAGAAAAATCAGGCAAGAAAAAGAAATAACGGGTATTCAAGTAGGAAGGGAGGAAGTCAAATTGTCTCTATTTGCAGACAACATGATTGTGTATCTAGAAGACCCCATTGTCTCAGCCCAAAATCTCCTGAAACTGATAAGCATCTTCAGCAAAGTCTCAGGATACAAAATCAATGTGCAAAAATCATAAGCATTCCTATATACCAATAACAGACTTACTTAAAGAGAGCCAAATCAAGAACGAACTGCCATTCACAATTGCTACAAAGAGAATAAAATATCTAGGAATACAACTAACAAGTAATGTAAAGGATCTCTTCAAGGAGAACTACAAACCACTGCTCAAGGAAATAAGAGAGGACACAAACAGTTGGAGAAACATTTCATGCTCATGGTTAGGAAGAATCAATATCGTGAAAATGGCCATACTGCCCAAAGTAATTTACAGATTCAATGCTATCCCCATCAAGCTACCAATGACCTTCTTCACAGAACTGGAAAAAACCACTTTAAACTTCATGTGGAACCAAAAGAGAGTCTGCATAGACAAGTCAATTTTAAGCAAAAAGAACAAAGTGGGAGGCATCACACTCCCTGACTTCAAACTATACTACAAGGCTACAGTAATCAAAACAGCATGGTACTGGTACCAAAACAGAGATACAGACCAATGGAACAGAACAGAGGCCTTGGAGGCAACACAACACATCTACAACCATCTGATCTTTGACAAACCTGACAAAAACAAGCAATGGGGAAAGGATTTCCTGTTTAATAAATGGTGTTGGGAAAACTGGCTAGCCATGTGCAGAAAGCAGAACATTCTTTTGAACATTCGTGTGCATGTGTCCAAACTGGACCCCTTCCTGACACCTTACACTAAAATTAACTCCCGATGGATTAAAGACTTAAACATAAGACCCAATACCATAAATACCCTAGAAGAAAATATAGGCAAAACCATTCAGGACACAGGCATAGGCAAGGACTTCATGACCAAAACACCAAAAGCACTGGCAACAAAAGTCAAAATAGACAAATGGGACCTAATCAAACTCCACAGCTTCTGCACAGCAGAAGAAACAGCCATTAAAGTGAATCGACAATCAAAAGAATGGGAAAAAATTTTTGCAGTTTACCCATCTGACAAAGGGCTAATATCCAGAATCTACAAAGAACTAAAACAGATTTACAAGAAAAAAATAAACAAGCCCATTCAAAAGTGGGCAAAGGATATGAACAGACACTTTATAAAAGAAGACATACATGAGGCCAACAAACATGAAAAAATGCTCATCATCACTGGTCATTAGAGAAATGCAAGTCAAAACTATATTGAGATACCATCTCATGCCAGTTAGAATGGCGATCATTAAAAAATCTGGAGACAACAGATGCTGGAGAGGATGTGGAGAAATAGGAACACTTTTATACTGTTGGTGGGAGTGTAAATTAGTTCAACCATTGTGGAAGACAGTGTGGCACTTCCTCAAGCACCTAGAAATTGAAATTCCATTTGACCCAGCAATCCCATTACTGGGTATATATCCAAAGGATTATAAATCGTTCTAGTATAAGGACACATGCACGCGAGTGTTCATTGCAGCACAGTTTACAATAGCAAAGACCTGGAACCAATCCAAATGCCCATCAATGATAGACTGGACAGGGAAAATGTGGCACATATACACCATGGAATACTATGCAGCCATCAAAAACGATGAGTTCGTGTCCTTTGTAGGGACATGGATGAACCTGGAAACCATCATTCTCAGCAAACGGACACAAGAACAGAAAATCAAACACTGCATGTTCTCACTCATAGGCGGGTGTTGAACAATGTGAACACATGGACACAGGGAGGAGAGCATCACACACTGGGGTCTGTCGGGGGAAAATAGGGGAGGGACAGCGGGCGGTGGGGAGTTGGGGAGAGATCGCATGAGGAGAAATGCCCAATATAGGGTCAAGGGGAGGAAGGCAGCAAATCACACTGCCATGTGTGTACCTATGCAACAATCTTGCCTGTTCTTCACATGTACCCCAAAACCTAAAATGCAATATTTTTTTTTTTATAAAAGGAAGAAATTATTTTCATTGGATAGGATGAGTATACTGACATAGGAAATCTGGAGACTAGTTTGGTAAAGTCCTGAGAAATAGCTCGAAAATTGATGATAGGCAAATCTCAATTCAGAGTTACTTCCTTGAGATCTTTTGTTTTCTTCTGAAAGTCAAAGGCAGAAGAATTTCAGATTAGCTGAGGTTTCTGGTTCTTGAGTCTGGTTAAATCTTTCCTTGCTACTCTCCTCTCTCCTTTTCCAGGTACTGGTAAACTTTTTGGGTTAAAATATTAGCAAGAACATAACAATGGGAACATTCCCTCTGTTTTTACAAACCATCTACATCTTTGGCTGCAAGATCAACTTCATATACATAATTATCTCTTGCTGAAAACATTTCATCTTGATTAATTAAAGGACTTCTGCTGCTACTAACAGCAGGGAGGAATTTCTGGAAAGGACTCCAAAGGCACTTAGCCTCTTTAAAAGCTCTACTGCCCACAAGTCTAGACTAGCTGATGCCTGCTGCTACTTCAATCATTTTATCTAGTATGGCACTTCTGCAGGTGGGGTTGCATACTTTCTATTGCTTCTGTTACAATTTAACACTACTGACATAATCGACAACGTTAATTTTTTAAAATGCTTTTCTATTTTAAATGTCATAGATTTTCATTGTAGAACATTTAAAAATACAGAGAAACACAAAGAAGAAAATAAAAATCATCTATAATCACACCACTAGGTAATAAATGGCAATTAATTTGTTGTCATTTTTCTCACTGTTGTATGTAACACAGACACAAAAAGCCTTACGTGTAAATCTTCTCAAGAATCCCTAATTACTTTCTAATAGCAAGTTTGCAGAAATGGAATAGCTGGCTGACAAAGTTTGAACATTTTCAAGTCTTTTGCTATAATCTTGCCAAATTGGCCTTCAGAAGGATGCACCAATTCATTCTCCTAAAGAGGTTTAAGGGAGTAACTGTTTATCTGCATTCTCAACAATATTCAGTCTTCAAAGTAAAATTTTACCAATTTGACAGTTTAAAATGAGAATCTCATTTTTACTGAAATTTCCTAGAATTGAATTCTGTTTCATAATTGGCCATTTGTATGCAGGCCCTAGGGAATGGTTCCCTAATGCTGTCTTCTCAGTTTCCTACTGAGATGGTTATCTGCTACCTTTCAGTTTGCAGGTCAGCTAATTGTTTGGTAGTTTCAACTGTCAGATCTTTTCTAAAAATAATTTTTTTCAACTTTTATTTAAGAATCCAGGTACATGTGCAGGTTTGTTACAAAGCTATAATATGTGATGCTGAGGTTTGGGATACGAATACATACATCACTCAGATAGTGAGCATGGCACCCAATAGGTATTTTTTTCCAACACTTACCCCCACCCACTTCTTGTATTTCTCAGTGTTTATTGTTCCCATTTTTATGATCATGTGTACCCAATGTTTAGTTCCCACCTATAAGTGAGAACATGCAGTTATTAGTTTTCTGTTTCTGTGTTAGTTTGCTTAGGATAATGGTTTCCAGTTCCAAACATGTTGCTACAAAGGACATGATTTCATCTCTTTATGGCTGTGGAGTATCCCATGGTGTATATGTACCCCATTTTCTTTATCCAATTCAGAGTTGATGGGCACCTGGTTTGATTCCACATCTTTGCTATTGTGAAAAGCACTGTGATGAACATATGTGTGCATGTGTCTTTTTGGTAGAATGATTTATCTTCCTTTGGGTGTATACCCAGTAGTGGGATTGCTAGGTCAAATGGTAATTCAACTCTCAGTTCTTTGGGAAGTCTCCAAACTGCTCTCCACAGTGGCTGAACTAATTTACATTGCCACCAACAGTGTATAAGTGTTCCATTTTCTCCACAGCCTTGCCAACATCTATCTTTTGACTTTTAACAAAAGCCATTCTACTGGTTTGAGATGGTATCTCACTGTGGTTTTGATTTGCATTTCTCTGATGATTAGTTATGATGAACATTTTTTCATGTTTGTTGGCTATTACATCTTCTTTTGAGAAGTATCTGTTCATATCCTTTGCCCACTTTTTAATGGGATTGTGTTTTGCTTATTGATTTGTTTTAGTTCCTTTTTGATTCTGGATATTAGACTTTTGTTGGATGCATAATTTGTGAATATTTTCTCTTATTCTGTAGGTTGTCTTTTTACTCCCTTGATAGTTTCTCTTGCTGTGCAGAAGCTCTTTAGTTTAATTAAGTCCTTTTCATTTTTGCTCCAAAAATGAATTTTACGGCAATGTTTGTTTCATATATAGTTCATTTTTTTAATCTTCTCTAAGAAGGTCATGGAAAGTGAATGCATCTTAAAAACAGTCCAAAGTACTCTGCTTTCAAATTTGCAAGTAATCCTTCTTTCTAATCCACTCATATAATTACTCTGTTTTAACATTGTGTACTGACTCCTTTCCACTTTTCAAATGAAAACCAAACCTACTTTGAAAAAACTAGGTAGAGCTACACTGTTCATTACAGTAGCCACTAGCCACATGTGGCTATTTACATTTAAATTTTAAAAATAAAATAATTAAAATTTCACTTACTCACTTGCTCAACAGCCACATGTGGCTAGTAACTGCCATATTGACATCACAGATGTCAGACTTTCATAGATAGTTCTGGACAGCACTGATAACATTTTAACTGTTCCAATCCCTGGACCTGCTCTCTCCCATATCTCTAGCCTCTCAGAATACCCTTCTCCCTTTCTTTGGCTAATTCCCACTTGTTCCATGTGGTGAGCAGGTCTATGCAAACCTAACTCCAAAGGCCAAGGGAACTGAGAGGCCAAAGCAAGAAGTTGACAAATCCAGTTTCTTAGAAAAAAACTTTTACTAGGGACTTAGGAACAGAAACAAGGTCTCTGGTGGCCATGAGACGGTGGATTCCTACACTTGTAGCAAGCTTTTAGAGTAAAACATGGGCAGGTGATCATGTTTAAGATTTTCTTGTGAAACTTGTGATATTGGGAAGGTAAGGGAAGCATCTTTTTCAGGCTATCTATGCTATAACATTGTTTAAAGACCTTGCTGCAGAAAACTTTGCTAGGTAGGAGTCAAATATTAGCCATCACGGCAATTTCACCTCAAGATGGTGTCACTCTGGCCGTGCAATAGGTTGTTTTTCTACACCACTTGTCCTTCAACATACAGCTCAGACATCACCTACTCTGGGGCAGCCTTTCCTGACTACGTGCTTCCCCACCTGGACTGCATGCCCTTTTTGGGCCCATTAGAGTCCTGGGCATAGAGTACTGATTGCAGTCCATCTTAGACATTTGTTCACTGGTTCTTGTCCCCTGCCAGCTCACTGAGGGAAGAGTATGTGTCTTTACATTCTGATTCTCTAGTTCCCAGCTAAGTTCTGAAAAACAGACAGAACTTGGTGTCTGCTGAATAAACAGACTGCTCACCATTTGCCCCACCCTGTGCAGAGGCAATGGTTTATCCTTCAAAATTCTCAAAAACTAAAAACACACCAAAAGAAATTCAAGAAGCAACATATTTATATTAAGGATAATTTAATTATTAAGAATAATAAAATAATGAAATACACAGGTGTATTTTATGAGCTGCCTCACAAAGGGCAGTGACCACAGCAATACTACAACATTGCTCTTGTTTATATACAGTACATATATATACACGTATTAACTTTATGCTTGAACAAGTATTTATTATTGGAACAATTCTAAACAATATCATTCTAATTATTCTTACCATAAATAAAAGCCGTTGCAAAAGCATGTCTTTTATCTTTAGTCCTCCAGAGTCTCTCTGGGGTCTTCATCTAATTTTCCTTCTAAAGTTACAGCATTTTGCTGGGAGAATGTGCATTTGCTAGTGCCAAGCCCAGATACTTTTTTCTCTTTTAAATAAAAAATAATCACAATTAATATATAATTCTTAGAGGAAAAATTTTAAAATACTGATACATATAAAGAATAAAAGAAAGCCCACTTATCATCCTGCCACTGAATGACAATCTCTGTTTGCATTTGGATGTCTATCTTCTTCCAATTTTAAAATATATGGATATATGTTTTTTCTTTCCTGCATAAGTGAGATTATACTGTGCTTAATTTTAAAACTTTTTTCAATTAACACATAATGAATTATATGTCAATAAATATATTTGTAACATTATTTTAAATGTCTACCTAGTGTTTTATTGTAAAAATATATCATTTAAAAAATGACTCTCATTTTTAGGAGCTTAGATTGTTTTCATTTCTCCCCCATCATGTTAATAGCGATGTGAGGGTTCTCCCTCTGCCTAAGTGTTTTCCAGGGATCTGCTGGTCTAACTCTGTTCTCTTCCAAGGAAGAAACAAGGAACGGCCTTCTTTTGGGGCCTTAGCGGGTGTCAGGGAAAGGTGATTATAAACCAGCTTAGGCCAACCCCGGAACAAACCAGCCAAATTAATGGGTTCAGAGTGTTATTCTGGGTTCAGTGGGCCAGGGTTAGTGGATTCCCTAAAACAGAGTCTGAGGCAAAGCTTACCTGCTAATGCTTTTTCGGGATGTGCCATGGCGGGGTTGCAAAAATAAGAGAAAGGAAAATCCAGGCTGGGAGGAAGGAGAGTGAATACTCGTTAACGAGTTGGTCACAGCTTCATGACAAAACAGCCGGATGCTTGGTGGTATGAGACATCCCTGGCAGGACAAACCAAACCACTGAGCCTAGGAATCATCCACAGGAGGGAAGGAGGGCATAGAGTTTATTGGCAGCTTCTTTGGGGTTTTTTTTTCCCCCTCTATTTGGTCCAATGTCACCCTATGGGGATAAACTGTCTCTCACTTTCAGGTTGTGTCACCTGGTCCCTCTGAAGAGCCATGGTAGGGGCCAGTCTCATATTCCAAGTTGTGGCACTTCCTCTGTATCTGAAAGTGGTGGGAAGAGTCAGGGCCTCCCAGGGTGTGGTCAGGGGAGTGTGGGTGTCAGAGATGCTGTGGCTCCCTGCCCTGACAGACAGGGTCCTGCCAGAGGCTGAGGCAGGGGTTGCAAAATAACTAAGCAATGGCACCATTGGAGGAGAGGGGTGCTTGCTAGCATTTCAAGACTGTGGTTTTCCCAGTAGTATCAAAGCCCTTGGTTTGGAGAACAAAGACATTCTGCAGAGTGCTTTCTAGAAGAAACACTAAGACCCAAGCTACCCAGGAGGGTAGGGCAGGAACAGAGCATTAGAAAGAACGGGAAAATGAAACTAAGTTCTGTAGGCCGGAAAGCTCCACCTTTCCTCTGGGGACAGAAAAAGAGCAAGAGGTCTGATGGGGACACTTGGCTAACCAAGCTACGTCTTCCAGTGCATCTCTCGCCCTGGGTTACCCAGCCCGCAGGACTCCAAGCAGGCAGCCTGGACTTACCCAGGAAGCAGGCTTGAGGGGGATGGGCAGATAAAAACCTGTGCACATTCTCATATACCCCTGAGAATAATGACACCTCACAAATGAGCACACCAGTACAAGGGGTAGAGGCAGAGGGAGGAGGAGAACTTTGCAGTGAGAATGGGGCTCAGAGTTCATTTAGGTAAACTGGGTGGTTTCCTTTTGACTTTCCAGACATGAAACAGGGCACATTTCCTGTAATCGGCTGGAAAGCAGCAGCAAAGCAAAGGAAGAAACCAGGGTGTGAAATAAGGTGGAAGAGGCAGGGACAAAAGACAATGAGTCTGCTGGGTGGTTTTCCTGAGGTCTAGTGATGCCAAGAACAAGCTGAAGCAACACGTTGATGTTTATGAGTCTCATGCACCGTGAAATTTGCTTGGGGCATTGTTAATCAGCCGACTCTTGGCTTCTCTTTGTAGCCTTTAGTTTTCCAAAAAACCAGATGGTAGTTTTTCTTGTTACAAGAATTTGAACACAGACAGGAGGCTCAGACAGACTGTAAGGTTGTCCTGCCTTTGAATGTAACTAAGGATGGGCTTAAATATCTTCCCCAGTTTCCCACTGCTGGAGGATAAAATAAAGAGCTCTGTGGCGTGGGCACCCTCAAGCTGACCCTCACATCTTGCCATCTTTACCTCCCATCCATTACAATGGCCATGACCCTGCCCTGGCACCAAGCCCTCCAAATGACACCACCTGGTCTTTCAGGCCTCTGTCCCCACCCTAAAAGCTCTTTCCCTGACGTCCTCTCATTTCTCTTCTGGGGATCATTTGCATCAAGACTCAGTTCAGGTTCGTCTCCTGAAACATTTCCCATGGCCAGGTGACTCTGGCCCACTTTCCCCGCTGCTCCTAGAGTGAACAGACTTCTAGGTTAGCTCTGACAACACATTGTAGCTATCTGAATGCATGGATGCCTTTTCCTATTAGATTATGGACTTCTTGAGAACAAGGATCATAGTATTGATTTTTTGGTCCTTAAGTATCTAGAACAGTATCCGCTACTTGGAAGGTTCCCAGAAAATGCTGGCTGGCTGAGAAAGCAGTTGTGTTTCCAGAGGGCTTCCCTGACACACTCACTGCCTTGCTCATCCTGCTGCCCAGCCATAGCTGTTTAGCTGTGACTCCTCTGTGATGCTCCAGCTCCTTGATGACAAAGATACAAACTTGCTACCTCTACAACAATGCCTAGCACGTTCTGGGTGTTAAAAATGTTGACATTAGGAAAATGTGCAGTATTGTAGGTAATTTTATATTATCCAGAGATGGAGCTCAGACTATAGTCATCATGAGACTAGCAAGTTTTCTGAGTGCAAGCACTGAGCTAGGCACATCACATACCTCAGACCGCTGATCCTCACAGGAACTTTTAGAATAGGTTTCCATTTTGCAGATGAGGAGGGAGTAGCTTGAGGAACTAAGTGATTTGCTCCAAAACACACATGCAGAAAGTGGCAGAGATGGGATGTAAACTCTGGACCGAATGTGTAATGGCCATGCGTTACATCAGGGCCTCCCAGGCTCAGATTCTCTGATGTAAGCCAAAGTTTTGGCTCTGGCCCTTAGTGCCTATAATTTCAGCTACCTGTCAACATCTGAACTTCAGAGAAAGGAGAACGAACCATCTTCCCCCAACTCCACTCAGTTCTTCTCACAGCCCACCTAACTGTTCCATGATATAGCTAATCAGGTACTTGGCTGAGGGTGGGACCAGCATCAAGACATTTTAGTACTTTCTGGGAAGGGTCAATATATGGTTATCTTTCATATAAACAGAGGCTGGAGAGTTTAAATGAACTTGCCCAAAGTCATGCATCAGGCAAATGGATAGCATGAATTGGAACTCCTTTTGGACTCCAGGGCTTGTGCTGGAAAGGCAGGTCAGGCCTATCTTGTGGTCCACCTTGAAAGTCAGGGTAAGGTCCACAGGCAATATCAAGAAGTCACTGGGAAGGTTTTTGAGCAAAGGAGCAATAAGGTCAGAGTTACAGTTGAGAACAGTAGTCTAGCTGTGAAGAAGAGAGAGTCTAGCATGGAGGGGGAGCAGCTGATGATGAGATTATTTAGGAGGCAGTTGCCAATTTGAGAGTTGTGCCTAGAAGAGGTTTGCTTTTAAACACATGAAGCTTGAGATGACAGGACAGGAGGAAATGTCCAGAAGGCAGTTGGAGGTGGGAGGTGGAAAAGAGATGCTGACTGGAAGTAGAGATCCAGGAGATGCCACAGAAAGGTAAATGAGGCCACCAAGTGCTGGGGTTAGGGCAAAGGGGGACAACAGGCTGAGGGGTAAGCTTGAAGATTTGGCTTATTCAGAGGGCAGAAGAGGAAGACTGTGAAAGACAGCAAGAAGCAGCAACTTGGGTAGCAGATGCCAGAATCCCCTCTACAGGATGGAAGTGTGTAGAGAAACACTTGGGTCAGCTGTGAGGGGGCGGGGGTGAGAGTGAGGAAGTGGAGAATGAGAGACCAGGAAACAAGAAGGTGAGAGGGCCCTCTGCCAGAAGTGAGGAACCTGAGATGAGGTTGTGGAGCAGAGAAAAAGACGGGAGGGCTGGGAGAGGGAAGTTGGGGGTGGCTTTTACAAACATGGGGTTTTAGAGTAGCTTGCACTGCTCTCATGAAGGCTCAGCTGTCCCTCCAAACCTTCATTAAAGTCTCTAAATGCACAAAAACCTGGTGCGTGAGTGTTGGGGGAAATCCAGGAAGAGGGCAGTGGCTTTAAGAGGGGTAGAACAGGGATCAAACTCTAGAATGGAGATCTAACCTAAGCAATGGTAAGCTGATGAATGGAAGACGTTCCGTAGAGACAGAGGCTCAGAGTCAGTGGTCTGAAAATGTAAACACACTGGAAATTTATGAAACCTTAGAGAGGGCAGTGGACTTGGGGTACGGCCAATTTCATCTAAATCTTAAGGGACATACAGATTCCAGTTCAACATCTGCACTACAACATTATCATGGATGATCATAACTATTAAATATTCTTTCTGAACAAGCAAAATGTGTTGGTGGATTTTACAAGATTAAACATGAGTGAGGCAAGCCCTCAATGAATTGGTTTGGAGATTTAGGAGGCTGGTGGGAGATCTTAATACAGCATTACATAGACATGGTTTATATCAGTCATTATAGGGCAGGCCGCCCAGCAGCGAGTCATTAGTTTAAATTGTCTGCTGGAGAACATCTCTGGGACTTTTCTGGTCCCTTTGCTCATGAGTAATTATTTCCTAGAAAACTTTTTCCAACCCAAATGTTCTTCCTGATCTAGAATAATGATGTGACCTAACTGAGCATGTTGCTGCAAAGCAAGGAGGCAGAAGCCTAGAAACCTGCTCTCGCTGCCTGTCCTGCAGTTGCTGGGAGGGTTTGTAACCTTCACTAGGGTCAGGCTGGGGATGGCAGGAAGCTAGGGCTCTGAGCACACTCCTGTGCTGGGATAAAAACGGAAGCTCAGGGGGTTGGCTAAGGCCCCACCCCTGGTCTCTGCACATTTTTACCACAGAGACTGATGAGACATTTCCTCTTTTTCATTTGTGTAAGTCATAGACAAGGGGTGTGTTTGCCTGTATGTGCCCACCTGTCTCTAAGCAATTTAGGGAATTTTGGCTTACACTAGGAGACGCATGAGTGCCAACCAAATTTTGTAAAAGTGCCTCATTGAAATCCCACCAAAAAGATAATGATTTTAAAGAGGCAATAAAATGAAATGATGGCTTTCTTGCAGTTATTTCATAATATGCTTTCTGCCAGGCTCTCCCAGCTTGCCTAAAGAAAAGGAGAAATGAAAATACTCGGCTTGTCAATTTTCCGCTTTTCTACAGTAATCACTGGATATGCTGAAAGATTGTATTAAATTCATGAGTGTTACTTGGCTACTAGGCATCCTATCGTTCTTATCTATAAATGTTACCATACATTAAAGAGTTAGCGGTCCTTACATGTAAAACATTTAGAAGTGCTGCTCCATGGTTGAATAATTTGGTGTGAGATCTTGTGACAGATTGCATTTTTCATAGATGGCTACAACCATAGCTGCTGTTACACACATTCTTAAGATGTGACACTGGCACTTCTCCCACTGAAAGGTGGGTTCTATGTCTTCTCTGCCTCTGCTCCAACATGGGGCAAGATTTATGACTGTTTTAACTAATAGAGTATGGTAGAAGTGAGGTCTGTGACTTTAGAGGATAGGCCATTAAAGATGATGCAGCATCCTTTTTGTCTTTTGGAATACTTGCTTTGGAGCCTTAAGCTATCATGTAAGATGCCTGACTACCCTGCAGCTGTCATGCTGGGAGGAAGCCCAGGCTGCATGGGAAGGTCTAGTCTGGCTGATAGCCTCAGCTGAGGTTCCTGCCAACAGCTAGAATCAGATGCCAGATATGGGAGTGAAGATGCCTCCAGATGATTCAAGCTCCCAGCCATCAAGTCTTTCCAACTGACGTCCCACACATTATGGAGCATAAATAAGAGGTCTCTGCCATGCCAAATTTCTTACCTACAGAATATGAGTGTCATAATGTGGTTGTTTTACACCACTAAGTTTTGGGCTGGCTTGTTACATGGAAATATTAATTGGAACAGATATAAAACCAGGAGCCCTGTTCACTCCCTAAGTCCTTCCAAGATACTTTGTTGGAGAGTTAGAGCTTCTTAGAACACTATATTTGAAAACCTCTGGACTAACTACTCTTCAGTGGCTCTGTTTGTAATAAACCTAGAGTTTAAGAGTTTCATCAAGAAAGAGAAGAATCTTACCTAGTGTTATGGATTGAATTCTGTCCCCCTAAAAGATGTTGAGGCCTACCTTTCAGGACCTGCGAATATGACCTTATTTGAAAACAGGGTCCTAGCAGATTATCAAGTTAAGATGAAGTCATTAGGGTGTATGGCTATGTTCTTATAAAAAGGGGACATTTTGACATAGAGATAGATAGGCACGGGGAGAATTACCATATGAAGATAAAGGCAGAGATGGAGGTAATGCATCTACACGTCAAGGATCATCAATGATTGCCAGCAAACTACCAAAAGAGAGGAGAGAGGGACAGAACAAACTCTCCCTTACAGTCCTTGGAAGGAACCAATGCTGTTGCAAACATGGTGCTTTACAACTGAGACAATAAATCTCTGTTTAAGCCATGCAGTTTGGGGTACTTTGTCATGGCAGCCCTAAGAAACTCATGTACCTAGGAATGAATTTGAACAGAGATGATGTTCCCTCACGTTCCAAGGCCCTCAGCTAATAGAGTTAGGCATTTTGATTGATTCTATGGGTTTGTTTTAGAGCCAACTGGGTTCAAGTTACAATGGTAAACACCACAAGGAAATATAGAGATAAAGAAGTCTTGGTTTCTGCACTCAATGGGCCTCCAACTTTGCAAGGAAGATATGATAGGCCCTAAAACAATCCAAGTGGTAAGTGCCTTAAATAATGAGGCAGGTAGGAAGTGTAGAGAAAGTCTAAATACGTATTGAAAACTCTTAAAAAACTAACGGATTTTAATACATGCAGGGCCCTAGATTGGATTTGGATGGACAGAACTGATGATAGAAAGGGCATTTCTATGAATATCCAACACTCTGTGTGCCCCTGTCTGATCAAAGTACATAAATAGAGTAAGTATAACTCCTTTATTGTTGAATCTACTTAAAGCATTTGTAGAATCCTGGATAAATTTTTGTATAATGTTTTTTTCCTCCCTGTACACATGAGAAAAAAATATGATTCTAAACATTTGAAAACAACCCAGAATTCAACTTTTGTCTTACAAAGTGTAGTACACTGCTATTAAGAATGTTCACACAGGATATGGTTCAGAGAGTGGGGAAATAATGAGGTGGGGGGGGATGGAGAACGTCATTATCAGTTTTTCCCGTAAGATTTTGAAATTAACTTTCTGGCCTTTTTGATGCAAGTTCTTGGTCAGATTTATAACTGAAGCACTTAGTAGTCATTAGCAGTTTCTGAGTTAGGGAAAGTTACCCGGAAATAATTACCTAGCTGGTTTGCTGTGCTTGAGATTTGATTATTTTAAAGTTGGTAGGATTTGAAGGGCAACAAATCATCCTAAATTTTAGAAAGTGTGTTAAACACCCTTTATCAGGAGGCTGCTTTCTAAGCTCCATTCTCTCCTTACCTCCCAACAAATGACAGCCTTATTTAATATAAACCATGTTTTTAATCTGACATTCTTTGTATTTCCCATTTGACATGAAATCAGTTTCTTTTCTTGTTTTCTTTTTTTTTAAGAAACGGGGTTGTCACCATATTGATGCTGAACTTGGTGCAGACACCCGATTGGCATAGCGCACTACAGCCCAGAGCTCCTGGGCTCAAGCGATCCTCCCACCTCAGCCCCCCGAGGAGCTGGGACTACAGGCACTCACCACCTCACCGGACGAAATCAGTTTCTTTGAGAGGTTATCTGGACTTAAGAAAATATTTACGTAGCTAAATGTTTAGATTACATTGTTTTTACTAAAGCTGAATCTCTAGTTTTCAATTTTACAAGTATGAATTTATTTTAAATACTTCATCACTAAAGGCTGTCAACATCCTGTCTTTGTTTCTAGATGCATAAAACTACTAAATCTGTTAGCATGCTCTTATTGTTAAGGTTCAAAGTGTGATTACCAGGGAAGTCTATGAGTCACACCACCAGAGGCTACAACTGGGGAGAGTTAAGAAAAAACAGTCTTCTAATTTTGAACAAACTGACTTCCTGTTGGAAAGGGTCACAGAAAAGCCATGTACCCATGAAATAAAACTTGGTTTTTATTTAGAGATCATTGTTGTACATAGCCTTTTAGAATTTTGTTGAGAGTGGCAACTCTGAAAACTAATTTTCATAAAGAAATTTAAATTACTAAAATATAATTTATTCATACAGCTCAATAGACATGAACAGAACTCATAAGCTTATGGACATTTACTGCTCGAATGCATAGGGAGTACCTCTTCACATTTTTGCACAGGTTTTCATTATTCTTGGACTAAGTCATCTTAAGATGTCCAAAGCTGTCCGAATATTAGAGTATGATTTTAACAAAATTGTCACACATAGTCTATATTAAATTACCATAAAATCCCAAGAACCTTCCCAATCCAAAGTGAAGAAATGCTATATATTTTTTGCCATATCAGCAACACTTCTGGGGAGTTTTTTTTTTTTTTTTTTAATTAGAAGAACTGTGGAGGAGATAAAAAATGTAAAACTTAGAGGTTGCCTGTTTTCTTTCACTTTTCCTGAGATGTCTGTTACCTGATAAGAATTGAACCAAACAGTATTTTTTTTTAATGGAAGAAGTCTAGATGTAACTCAAGTTGAAATAAAATTAATTGTGTAAAGGATTAAAAAATAAGGAGAAAGCCCATTTTCTACTTGTTCTCAAACTTTATAACAGAAAAATCCCCGAATCCCTGAATAATCAGAATGGCCAATTTGGTTTACATGTTTGATAATATAATTGCCTACCTTGTATCTTTTATGCAAAATATTCAAACTGAAAATATTCTATCACTTATGATATGCCTGATCATATAACTATTTATTTGGACTGAAATGTGTTCAAATATGTTTAAATGTGAAATCTACAGTATAGTCTGCAGTCAAATATCCATACTTACACAAAATTACGTATCTAATGAACAGCTTTCACTTTTTGCCTACTTGGATATTCAGGATGAGGTTCAAAGTTACATTCAGAAATATGTGGGCCTTGTGTTCTGACAGTGTAAATGCTCCACTGAGTCTCAAATGAACTTCAATGACTTCCTTTCTATGCATTCACTTCTTCACCCAAACAAAACGCTTATGTTACTAGCTAATAATAACTAATAACTGAATCAATTTAAAATTTTCAGAGTTTATCTCAATACTCTATATAAATGAAAAGACTAGAAGATAGGACGGTGGAGAATGGCAGTGGGCAGAGTTTTTTTTCTATATGTGCAGATTGCACTGAAATCGCCAGATGTCTCTAATCTATTGCATTCCAGAATTTCTCCAGAGCTCTCACACTATCTCTTCTAATTTCTGCTACTCACATTTACATAGCCTCCCCCATCACACTCACCACCCTTCCTTATCAACAATTCTTCTCCAGAGGGCTGATTATCAATAAAATAAACACTATTAAAATATATGTAAAGTGAAAATTTAGCTTTGAAAATTACCCATCATTTCTTATGCATAAGAGGTCACAAAGTTTCCTTGTAGAGGGCTTCCCTAAACCTGGAGTGAATGTGGTTAATTAGAGGAGGCCTCCTTGCTGTGCAGCATCATTCTGATACCTTTAAGTAATCACAGTCATTACTATAAGACTATTTACTGAAAGCTGAGCTGGACAGCCAATGTACAATCTGATCTGGCAAATGCACAGAAATTGCACTCCAGATTACATATTAAGGCACTAATTACTCAAATGAAACTCCAGGGGCACCTTAGGTAGATACAGTAGAGTGAATTAAGGAAGGAAATAATTAGTCACAATTACAGAAACTAGCTCAACACAAAGTGAAAGAATGCATGCAGCTTACTTCCTGCAGAGAAAAGGGAGCCTTAGTAATAGTTTAAGAAATGCAAACGATAAACATGATTCCTAAAAATGAGTAAGAAAGGGACAAATCTCTATTTTAAGTTACAAAAAACTACTTTATTTTTCTGTTTCTATGTACTACATATCCAAATAACATTAAGACATTTTATCATGAATTTACACTATGACAAATCAACTTTCAAGCATTTTCTTGACTGTTTTAGAGGTTCTGCCAGCATTTGACACAATCTGAATACATACAGACAGAGTAAACAGGGTCAAAAAGAAAACTGAGTGAGCACATAAGGCATGGAGTTTGAACTCCAATAAAAATATTCATTAAAGAGGCAGAATGAGGTGGGGGGAGTGAAGAAACACATTTACATCACATTAAAAACCATGCATAGAAACTGTTATTGAACACGGTCAAGAAATTAAGTTTTCCAAATTTATATATCCACTTTTCAAGGTATTCTGATAAAAAAAAAATTCCTTTGGTCAGGGAGAGACCCTCCTTTACCTCTCAAAAATGAACTTAAAGATGCTACCTTTATTGGTGAGTGACTTCGGGAAGATGGAAGAGTGGATGCTTAGTTTGGAAGGCTGGCAGGAAACTTCCAGTAGCATGTCACTGAGGCCTAAATCTCAAAAAATCATGGCAGGTCTGGTGAAGACTATCCAAGTTTTCTTGCAATGTTTCTAAATAGAAAGAAAAGAGAAAATCTTCTTGATCTTTTAGGCAGCCTCCTCACTGACAACCAAGCTGTTTTGCTAATTTGTTTTGCTAACTTGAGGTTAGTATGGAATGCTATCCTGAGTTACTAAGATCCTACTAAAAATACGACTGTTTGAATCACATTATCACATTCAGAATTCATAGGAGAATGTTAATTGAATCTTAATTTAGTATCTAAAAACAAAGTAGAATTATATTGAAATTGATCTTATCTGTTCCCAACTAATTATTGCTGGCACTTTTCATATGATGGATCAGGAATGTCTGCTGCTTAAATAAATATATCATTTCCATTGATCAGGTATTTGGTATGAAATTAGAGGGTAAAAAAAACTACTTAAAGGATGGACTTTTCTTATAATAGAAAATAAAAATAAATAATAGCACAACCCTTCTTGAGGAAAGTGTCAATAAGGGATATAAAGATTTTGTCTTCTCTTTTTAAATATCAGAAATCCTGAATAGCATATTGTAAGAATTTGGACTTCACTTATCCCAAGCAAACAAGGAAGATTTTTGTCAAAGACCCGCTCCATAAAGACGACTTGAGAGCCAGGTAAATGGCTACATCTGAACAAATTACTTATAGCAGGTATGTTTTCCAAGCCTTTCTGAAAAAGCAGTACCTACTGCATAATATGCAATGTAAATTGTTAAAACTCCTTGAAATAGCTGGGAAATACAATGGCAGGGGAAGAGGTGGGTGAAGAATAACACTTGAAATACGAGATTTCACTGTACCAAGAATCTTTATATTAAAAGAGCTGGTATTCAAAACAAAAGCAAATCAAACCCAACACAAAACAAGAAAATGCAGTAGTTTCTGAGGTGTGGTCTTCTTTGGTGAGTTCCACTGGGATATACTTATATGCTCTCTTTCAACCTGACCATCACCAAACAATTGTTTGTTCTGTACTTAACAATTAAAACTGACCAAAAGGCTTATCCACCATGAGCTTCAAGCAGCCATAGGAGATAAGAACACATATGGTGCTTTTATATTTATACAAAGCAATTTTTCATGAATCCTATAGAGATTGGGGAAACAGAGCTATAATAGTCATTCCTTTTTAGAAAGAGCACTTGCAAAATACAGAAAGTGATTAGGTAAATATCCCTCTATAGTGAAATGATCAGTTAAAGAACTTTAGAAAAGTCAGCAGTTCATTACCTGAGTTTCCCATTTAAAGGCTAAATAGTAATTAAATGCTTTTTACTTAAGAAAGTGAACAAAAACTTACAATATTAAAAAGGGCCAGTGTCAGAAAATTTAGACTCAAACTTAAGTTTGAGACTTTTGAAGTTTTATAAAAGCTAATAGGAATATCTATGAATTTTCCTTCTTAGTTAAAACATGAAGTCATAGAACTATACTGACTTACTGGATGTTATCAAAATTTAGGTTGGAAGTCAGCCTGCAAAATCATTAAAAAACAAATCAATATTTTTTGAAATTTTGAGCAAATTTTTACAAGTGATAAAAATAAATTATTAGTAACTTCAGTTATGAACCCATATGAGATTTTTAGTTAACCCCCAAATAAAGACTTCAGCATAAATGTGATTTTTAACCTGAAGAGATCCCTTTTGAAGGGTAATATAGAAAGTAAGTATAAATTTTATCCAGAAAAATAGTGCACCCAGTGTTTTGCTAGCAGTTACCTAAGCTTGTCTTTCAACAAGGTGTTTTTGTTATGCTCAACCATGGACAATCTGCCAATAAATTATTTGTTTAAAACAGATAGGGCTGGGTGTGGTGCCTCACACCTGTAATCCCAGCACTTTGGGAGGCTGAGGCAGACGGATCACCTGAGATCAGGAGTTTGAGACCAGGCTGGCCAACATGGAGAAACCACATCTCTACTAAAAATATATAAAAAATTAGCCAGGTGTTGTGGCGGTCACCTGTAATCCCAGCTACTCGGGAGGCTGACGCAAGAGAATTGCTTAAACCCAGGAGTCGGAGGTTACAGGGAGCCAAGATTGCGCCATTGCACTCCAGCCTGGGTGACAGAGTGGGACTTTGTCTCAAAAAAAGACAAAACAAAAAACAGGGCTATGTTTCTAAATACAACACATTGTTCAAACTCAGGATTCCAACAATATTCTAAAATTGAATGCTTTATCATACAAGAACTATAACCATGTTATTCTAAACACACTATTTCAATTACAGGTCTGAATAAATTAGCAAAATAAGCATTCTAAAACATTAACATAGAGCAGAAACTTAAAGCACTCAATTTCCTGACCTCGTGATCCGCCCGCCTCGGCCTCCCAAAGCGCTGGTTACAGGCGTGAGCCACCGTGCCTGGCCAAGAATCTCTTTCTCTAATGCTTCAGCCCACCATGTATTGTAAAGTTTAAAACACAACTTAGGCACACATTTCTGAGGAGCAATTCTCATCATTGGCTTTTGTATACAACTCAAAGTAGCAATGGGTAAATTCACCCAAGGAGCAATTTTTTAAAACAACATTTCGAAAACCCAAAGCATCTTTCTACTTTCTTTCATTGTTAAGTCACAAAACTTACTTAAATCAGTTTACAGCTCAGAAAATGGTCAATGTGAATTTGGTACATATAACAAAGTTCTCATAATCGGTAGTTCTGGTTCTGCATCAAGGGCACAAATAGTGTATTTCATTTTCCTGTTCTACATGCTTAATAGTCAGTGAAATATTTTGCCCAAGAGCCCATGCTATGTCGGATTTTAAGTACAAAGGCGAATAAAAGCTCTGCTGATGGTCAGGCAAAAATTATTGCTAAGCAACAACAACTTAGCAATTTATTCACACTTTAACAAACAATTTTCAACGAGATACATATTTTAAGCCAGAGAGCAGATAGAGTTCCTGTGCCTGTAGCACTAGTATTCACAGCAAGGGCAGGCTTGAGGGAAATCGATCCACATCTGGTCATCCCTTAGTATCATGGGGAATTGATTCCAAGATGCCCTCGGATACCAAAATCTGAGGATGTCCAAATCCTTGATATAAAATGGTGTAGTAATTGCATATAACCTATGCCCATCCTCGCATATACTTAAAATCATCTCTAGGTAACTACTTATAATACCTAGAACAATGTAAATGCTATTTAAATAGTTGTTACGTGGTATTGTTTAGGGAATAATCACAAGTAAAAAAGTCTGTACATATTCAGTACAGACACAACTTTCTTTTTGAATATTTTCCATCCACAGTTGGTTGAATCCATAGATGCAGAACCCGCAAGTACGGAAGGCTGACTGTATCTATAAGTGGATTATTTTGTTCAACAGGCAAAATGTGAATAGATTACCACTGCCACACTGTGCTGAGAAAAGGAGAGGGCCTCCCTGGAGGACACCAGCTCTTTAACAGGGTGCTTTAGTAAATTTTTTCCCATCTGATGCAGCCACATATCAAGATATAAAAGTTGATTAAATTACTCAAAAACCAAGCTTCTAATTCTATAATCTTTAAATTTAATTACCTACAAGAATATTAAAATAAATCTAGGTTTTCTAAGGTTGTTCACCAGTACTACATAGCAGTATTGAGATTAAGGTGGGAAGAGCCTCTATATTTAGGTTTTAAATATTTTAAAAATGTTGGTAAAATGCAAGTAAGTTAAATGATAAATGACCAATTCAAACATATCAACCACTAAAGATTATTTTCTTCACTCACAAAAACCTTGTCTAAGGATAATGATAACTGCAAGGTATGTGAAATAATACACTTTCGGGTTTCGCTGGAGGCAGGGGAACATTTAAAATACTCTGACAATACGTGACAATGCACTTATGTGAAGTTCCACTGAATGAAGGTCTTGGCCAATGGAGAAGGCAGCTGGTATTAAAATAACTAGCACAGATTTCTTGATACACACACAATGAAAACAAAAATAAGGACCCTGTATAGGTGTAAACAAGTTAAAAATGGCCTTGGCAAAATATCTTCCTCTATTTAAAAAGTGTCAAAAAGCATGCAACTTATAATTCCCTCCTTTCCACAAGAATGAACTAAAAAACGAAAACAAAAAAACCACAACAATGGAACCATCTCTTTCTGTCAGTAGATAATAGATACATTGTGTTTCAAGACAAATAAAACTTTAAAATATTAATATTGAAAAAATACAATTAAATTTTTATTAAAAATACATATTCCTTACTCAATCTTTGTGTACATTTTGTTTTGTGTGAAAAGGAAAAAAAAAATAGGAAAGCCATTAACACTACCTAATTATTCACACTGTATTTGGTAGAAGCGTGTTTCAGTCAAATTTTAACAAAAAATAAGTTACTCTGTTTTCATTTGCTCCCGGACATCGGAAGGCAGAGTTTCAAACAGAGCATCTTCCACAACTAAACCAGCTCGCTTCAGAGCCCGACAGTCGCCCAGTTCAGGAGGGAGGATTTCAAAGTGATTGCCTTTTACATCTAAGTAGGAAAGAAATAGTAAATTTCCAATTTTCGGTGAAAGTACAGATAGGCTGTTTTTCCCAATCTTCAGAGTTTTAAGTTTCTTGCAGAAGTAGAGTTCATCTGGAAGGCTTTCCACTTTGTTACACGTGATGGAAAAATACTGTAAACTTTGTAGAACTCCGATTTCAGGTGGGATAAATCGAATGTCATTGTAGGATAAGTCCAAGTATCGGATCTTGTTGCATAGGAAGAGGTGGGAAGGCAGTACCTCTATTTTATTGTGACTAAAGGACAGGCGTTCCAGGCTGGTGAGTTTCTTTATATGCTCTGGGATGTAGGTGATGCTGTTATGCCACAGTTTTAGCACTGTCAACTTTCTCAAGTGCTGAAAGCTAACAATTTCTTCTATAGATTTCAGATTGTTTTCCTTCAGGTCCAATTCCTGGAGGCTGAGTAGGCTGAACACAGCATGAGGAATACGCTCCAGGTCACAGTGGACGAGCTCCAGCTCTGTTAGATTGGTCATCTTCTTTAAGTTGTTGAGCATCACCAGCTTGGTGCCATCATTATGTATGCACATCTTCTGGAGATGGCTGGAAACATCAACAACTGCCTGAGGGATTTTGGAAACATTGCTTTTGATCGAGAGAATTTTAAGGCTTTTGAGATCCCGCAGAGACTCAAGGGTGACATTTTTGGAGATATCATGACTTAAAGAGCCAACCAGGTACAGTTCTTCCAGATTTCGGAGTCCATACATCCAGGGGGGGAGCTCCCTCATGTCATCAAACTTGACGCTCAAGACCTTGAGGTTTTCCTTCAGGAAAGAGAGAGCTGCACTGTGGATTTTGACAGAGCATTGGTGTAGAGAGAGTTCCTGAAGATTGTCTAGCTGTGCAATGGTGGCTGGTATCATTACGTTCTTAATGATTTCAAGTTTTAGAGACTGCAACTCTGTAATTTCAAAAACAGTGTCTGGAAGGCCAGAGAGCATGATAAGAGGCAATTCCAGTCGATTATGGGCATTTGTCTGTAGCTTCTGTCTCAGTTTATCGGGAGTCCATTCATTATTTAAGTTCAGCTGCTTTAATTTGTTTTCACTGACTTCAGACAGGAACACTGCAAATCTCTTGGAATAAAGAGGGTCATACTGATCGATCATATGAAGCATAAAAGCAAAGTCATTTTTCACATCTGGAATATCATCAATTCCAGTCTCCTGCCGGACATACTCAAAGGAATATTCCCGTAGAGAACGGTAAAACAGCCAGTATAAGGTATAAAGGCATGTCAATCCATAGATACTAACAAAGCACAGATAGCAAAAGGAGAGTTTTGAGAACAAGTGTGCCATGGTATGATTGCAAGAGAAGTTTTTATATCCAGTCATGTCCTGAATGTCCACATTACAGTCCACCGTAAACTGGACCTTGGAAACCAGAGCACTATTATATGCAATGATGATTAGGAATTTGATAACCTTAAGCACAGTCTGGCGAACATACATGGCATATAGAATATCGCCTTCTTCCACATGCAGCCTGAACTTCTTCACCTTCTCAAATAAGGCCTTTGCCTGCTCACCTTCCTTTTTATCCAGAGCCCCTGCAGTAGATTTGTCAACCACAAACTTCTCAGGAATGGACTTTAAAGACTGAGAGTTGACCAGGCTGCCTTCTGGACCAGACTGGATGGTGTTGGACCTGTTCATGTTGTTCTTCCTGTTGTCCTTTTCTTCTGAATCCTCCCCAGACACTTCAGATAAAGCTCGTGTGGTCCAAGGAGAGTCAAAACACTTCCCCAGAATGGAGATGAAATGTTCTATTTTGGAGCTGGAGCCAGGGAATTTGAACCAAAAATTACTGCAGAGCATAAAGACCAGGGTATGGATGAGGACCAGGTAAGGGAAATACTTGGCATACCAGTGGAGGGCTCGCTCGTAACACATCTGGTTTATAAAGCTGTACTGCTGAAGGTCCAGATCCGTCTTCAGGCCTTTCATTTCCACAGTGATGGGGTTAGCAGGAGATGGTTTAGGTGGAGGCAGCGGGGTGGTACTGGCAACTGCTTGAGAGGCATTCGAAAGGGAAGAGTGGTTTTGAGCAGGCTGCACTCTTTTCGGAAGGCAGATTATCTTGTCTTGCATGACCTGAAACACAGAAATAATATTTCCAAATTATATTACTCAAAGAGCTTTCATAATGTCATTACTGCAAAGAAGGCAGCAATAACATCCAATAAATGTCCATTTCCTCTGCCTGGAGAATACAACGTTCAATTTCAGCACGAAGATTTTATTCTTAGCTCATACATTGGAAAAATGAAGTATCTGACTTTGTTCATTATGTCTAAGTTATGACATAAAACAGTGGTTTTTCACATAAGAATGACCCATAAGAAAATAAATATTTAGGGAATATTCATGTGTTTTTTAAAAAATTAGCAGCCAGGCCTGGTGGTTCAAGCCTGTAATCTAAGTACTTTGGGAGGCCGAGGCAGGTGGATCACCTGAGGTCAGGAGTTCAAAGCCAGCCCAGGCAACATGGTAAAACCCTGTCTCTACTAAAATTAAAAAAATTAGCTGGGTGTGGTGGCGGATGCCTGTAATCCCAGGTACTTGGGAGGCTGAGGCAGGAGAATTGCTTGAACGCCAGAGGTGGAGGTTACAGTGAGCCAAGACTGTGCCATTGTGCTGTAGCATGAGCGACAAGAGTGAAACTTTGTTTAAAAAAAAAAAAAAATTAGCAATTCTCTCACTGGATTCTGGAAGAATCAGTCATCATTCTGAGAAGTACATCACCTTCTCAGATCCAGTCTTTAGTTAGATGTCCCCAAAGATTTCATCAGTCTGTGTATGAGAAGCAGAAAGATTAAAAAGGGGGAACTATGAAAGAAATTCCTATCTGTATTGTTTTCCCTTTCTTTTTCTACCCATAGTCTAGACTATATGTATAGATGAATATAAATGAATTTAATATAATGGGAATTTTACTAAGCTTTTATAAAAACCACTCCTTCAGAGAGAGAGAAGAAAATACAGAAGTGTTCAACAGTAAAATTGTCTAGATTTGCTAGCTTTTCACAAAAAAATGTTACATTGAGAATGACCATCTCTCTACAAATGTTTCAGTTTGTTGAAAAGAATATTAAGCTGTAAGAATGTCCAGCAGACTCAAAAAACTGCAATTTGGGAAAGACAGAATGAATGCATCCTTTTTGAAGATAAGGAATACACATTGAATCAACCTAGAGCAATCATCCCCAGGAGGCCCATGTAAGTGGAACTCTATGAAGAAAACATTGACAATTCAAAGGAAGAATAACCAAAGAGTATTCAGCAATGACATGTGGAATTAATAACACAGGGAAAGTCTATTTGTGTCTTAAAATGTCAAATGGCTGAAAATCCACAATGTTTAGTGATTCTGCAACAGCGGCGCTTAGTGATTTTGCAACATCAAAGTCCCTTATCTTGATTACAGGCGTAGAAACTGAACCTGCCATAAAGTGGTCTGCTATAGTGTAAGGTGACCACAAGCTGGTGACAAGGGAACTAGCAGCACACCATATAGAAACATGAGGCTGACGACAGAGTGAAGCCCCCAACACTTAGTAAAGTGCCTGGTACATGGAAGACAACCAGTGTATATTTGCTGAGAAAGGGAATGAATCCACAACTGCCAACAGTCCTTATACTTCAGGGTTGTATCAGTCTGGGTGTGCAGGACACCTCTTCTATGGAAGCAGATGAAGATGTTGATTACAGTGATGACAGCAGCAAACTTCTGTTGTGCTTAATGTGCAACTGACCGTCTTTTCACAACGTCATGAGCATTAACTCTGTTAACTGCTATCTCAATCAGATGAGAGCAAGTACTCTTATTATTTCCATTTTATAGAAGAGGAGACTGAAGCATGGGCTCAGGTGAAGTAACTTGCCTGCGTCATCTAACTTAGAATTACCTAGACCCAGGGCCCACATTCTTATTTTCCTGAATGTCTAGGATTAAATCAAAAGGATCCTAATTTGACTTTATCTTAACAAATTACTTTGCACAAGCAAGTCACCTTTTACAGAAAAGGCTTACTGCTTCCCATGTCCTATGCAGATAATAAGAAATGAGGCTACGGGAAGAGAGGAGGTTTCACCATAAGATTTATAAAGTTCTATCTTGGAAGATAAAGCAGGGGGCAACTACTTACTATTTAAATCAAAAGAATGCAGGGCAGAACGACAAATGTGATTGCGTTCGGAGGGTTTGGTGGCTACAGAGCTATGAGAGTTCAGCTATGGTCTTCAAACATTTCTATTCCCTAGGGAAAAATGTTGAGTATGTCCACCCACTGCGTTTATGTCTTCTTATAATTACTGCATATCCATATCAATCAATATGACAAATATTCAAAAAGCTAATTTATTTCAAATTTAAGATATAGATAAAAGTTTTCACTTTTATTTCACATCTCAAAGGAGCATCCATCATATTTCTTGGGATTCGAGCACTATACTTTGGAAACCCCTAGAATAAAAAAAAAAAAAAAACACCAGGAAAAAGCCTAGACAAATGCTAGACTATCTTCAAGAAACATAAAAGAGAAACGACTATGAAATTCAGGGCTTGGGATCATGTTCCAGATGCTTTCCTGTTCATGGTCTCATTTAATGCTCCAACAACCTGGGAAGTAGGCAGAGGGAAGGGGCCAGAAATCACCTGGAAAAGGAACGTGCTTCCTTGAGCACATTATTCAAGAGTGACACCCTTGAACTGATGTTAATATGACATTGTTAATGATATGATGAAAATACACAGGAATCTGTGCAAAAGCATGATTAAACAGAAGGTAAAAAGGGAGGTGTCTTCTTAAGGTGCTAAGTCCCTGCTAAGCAACCAAGTGGGCCCCATTTCTGTACCCCTGCCTGACCCCTCTCCCAGGCTTGCTCCTAATAGAAGAAGATGGTGGACTTAAGGAGCTTGGCTGCTGTATAGGATTTTACGTTATGCTCTGTACCAGGGTGCCCAGGTGAAGGGCAAGCATAGGCTGAAATCTAGCTTGTACACCTCTCACTCAGCTGTGTGCACCTGGGGCTATGTCCACACAGTGCAACTGCGTTCTTATACTTTGCACAAAAACATCTAATTGGCTGGAATCTGCCATGCTGGAGAAGTAGGTCACATTCTCTCCCTTCTACAGAAGAAACTGACCAAGTTTCAGAAAACTTCAGTGACCTGCACAAGTTCACGCAGCTAGGAAATGGCAGAACAGCAATTTAAACCTGTCTTATCTTTCCAGCCTAGTGTTCTTCCACACTCCCTACATTCTTCTCATTTCACCTAGCTTCTGCAGGACGGCTTTGTAGAGAATAGCCCAGCGCAGGAGGCTTACACCACAGGCAATCTCCAGATGCACCTTTCACTCTTCTAACTTCATATTTCTCTTTCATTCCTTCATAAAGATATTTTTTGAAGTGTGCCTACTCAAATATCAGAAGAATAAAGACAGCAATCTATTTTCCAAAAGCTGTTAATCATCCAGAAATGAGCCTTGAGTAGAAAAAAAAATACTGCAATTTAGTCACTAAGAGCAGTAGCATCTCATGTTGCTGAGGGAACATATCACAACAAGACTCCTGCACAGAGGCAGCTCTGAGTAGAATTCAAAAAGAATGTGAGGGCTGGCTGTCAAATCCAGGACTACAAAAAAGAAATAGCCAGCTTAGGAGGTCCAGCAGTAAACAGCATGAAGATTTAAACAGTGAAATAGCTACAAGAGAGAGGAAGTTACCTTCCATGTTAAATAGAAACTGAATTTCTGAGTACTGCAATGTTGGGAAGAACTGGGAAAAGGATCAGTATTTTCTAAGAGAAAAATAAGAAAAAAAAAAAAGGCAGGCAGACTTTTAAAAAATTTTTATTTTTTTTAAAAAAAGGTTAAATGGTGTTTTTGCCATATCTTTGTAACAGCAGCCTGTGAGAATTTGGAAGTTTTTGTTTTATCTTTCTTATCCTTTTGAGAAGTCTGCCTAGTCAGACCTATACTTCACATCTCTTTTTCTTTCCCCAATAGTTTAAAGATCAGGGTGCAAAACAAGCCTTAAAGAGAGGCTGCAAAACAAATTTCAAAAGAATAATTGTAGGGTTTCAGGCCGTTGGTGCAGGATGAGGAAAGAGTGGTTGGAGTATGGGCAGGGAGAAAGTACCCAACCCAATCCCCTACTACAAAGCCCTGAGGCTCAGTTCATCACCAGCAGATCATCCACACACAGCACCACAGGGAGGAATTCTACCATTTTCTTTCAAGGACAACCTGTCTTTGGGGAAAAAAGGCTTGAGAACAGAGCTAAATGGTATCTTTATGTAGGAAGAGGGAGAGAAAAAGGGGGAAGAAATTGAGGAGGAGAGATGAAGAAAAAAAATCAAAATGAACAAGAGAACCCGATCCAAAAAAGCATCAAAGTGAGAAAAGTTAATATTCTAAAAGCTGCTATGAGAATTCTGAGGATTCTTAGAATAAAATGATTTATGGTAAGGAAAATGCCTAAGTGAAGGAGGAGGAGAGAGACACAGAAAAGAATGAGACACTGAAAGTAAGGGTCAGATTAAACTAAGGTACAAGGAGACAGCTAAACTACCTACTTTACATTGGAGTGAACAGGCTTGGAAGAAGAAGGAGGAGGTGAATCAGGAGAGCACAGACAGGCTAGAACAGAAGAAGAAATTAGGTCAAGCCACGCAGCAGGTGGCTGGAATATATGCTCATTATTTCTATTTTGACATACAAATACCTTTCAATCTTTCTCAAACCTTTAGTAAAATCTGCTACACACACACCACCCCCCAAAACGTACCTTTTATGAATGCATTTTGTAGAAATCACAGCAAATTTCATGCTGGGATCAAAGTTGTACAGAGTTTGCCTGGGATAGGTAAAAATCTCTAATCTAAATTATTTTCATGAAAGCAGAATCTGGGACCATGGGAACCTAATCCTTCCAGGAACTTGCCTGGGAGCATTAGACTGGAGTTTGACCCAATATCCTCTGGATCCTTAGGAACAACTAACATCCAGGAGCATAAAATAATCCTCAAGGCTTCCCAGTTAAAGTCCCTGGAGAAAAAAATGTACACATAAACTTCTTCCATGACTGTG